TGATTTGATTGATTTGTGATAGATAAAGTGAGGCAGAACTATATATTGTAAGCGGCTACCATTAGAGTACAATTTAACAACGTGTGGTTACTTTAATGGGGGGATGATACGGGCTGTAGCACTCTTCACTGCAAAATGAGGGGATGGTACGGACTGTAGCACTTCTATTAAAATACTACACATTGCTAAAGTGCACCATAACAGTAGTCGCTCTCAATATATAGTTCCGTCTCACTTTATCTCTTCCACAGATCAATCAAATCACTGTCTCTCACTTTTTCTCCTTTGTCTCTTCATCTTCTCATCTTCTCCGTATGGACATTTTCATCTGTCTTCTGGCTGTTCAATGACAAGCTTTGCTCCCAATGCACTGGGCATGGCCCCAGTGGCTCGGGTTGGCCATTCACTCTCACATATATTCTCATGTTGCTCTTTGTGGGTCCAAGAATGGCATGGCGAAAGCTTGGTTCAACATCGAACCTCCGTCGAACAACGTATTTTATGCCATGCTCGAGCAGCCGATGGCCTAACTGTTGACAGGGCTCTGGGGGTTCGTTCTAGGTTACCTAACATGGAAATGACATCCGAGCAGAAAGGAGATATCTCGCAAAGGGCAGGTGACTTTAGAGACGATGTTTATCGTTGGGGGCATGTGGGTCAGCTTTGCTGCAACTGACGCCTGGTCGCTCTCCATACTATTTTCTGTCATGATACACGCCATCAGTGTCTCAAATCTCGTCATTGTGTATGAGAATGTCGGCCTATATGATGGCTTGGCGTCAGTTTTCATTTCTACGATTTATGTGGTATGTACCCAGTAATTGAACACAAAATTGTCATGAACAATAACAACAATCTGTTGTGTGCCAATTGTGGCAGTGAAACATTGCAGTGGCGCGAATTCGGATAGGTTGAAAGTGAAGGACGAGGTAGGGACTGACAAGAAAACTCAATTAGGCATTGTGGATTATTCATTTCAATTGTAATAGGCAAGAGGAGATTAGAAAAGTTATAATTTTGTAATGAAAGTGAAAAAAGGTGTTACTGGTGTAGCCAAACAAGGTTTTGTTGAAATTTTATACAACATTTAATGCATTTTTATGCTATACTTTTGGAATGTCACATTGTATGACTATTAACAATTACCAGAAAATGGTTGAAATCAACAAGTCAAACCTTATGTTTCTCAAAAAGAAAGATTAATGGTTAAAAGGATCATCCCGGTATAAATTTTACACGTCAGTAAAATCACAGCATGTCCATATGGATAAGTAGAATTTTGTTGTTGAAATTGAGCAACAATAAGAAGTCGACTAAACAAAAGCAACCGACAACAGAGAAGGAAGAGAGAGAGAAAAAAAATGAAGTTAAATTCTAGACAAGCTTATGACAAGGTACAATTAATATTTTGGCTCCCAAGTCATCTTGAAAACTATTCATGGAACTCAAAGATTTTGATTAGCGGCTAAGAATAAACAAAGCACTCGTAACCTATAACGATCACCACGTGGTAAAAACTCATTTATTAAGGCTCGTAAAACCAAATGAACTGCATCCAACCTTCATAACATTCAACCCATTGTTCATAAGCTCCAAAGCCAGCTCATATAATCCAAAACAAGAATTTGACTTCAGTTTTAACTAATATATGGTTGCACACAATCATATGGTACTATTTATTTGAATAGACATCTTTACTGAAAAACTTGTAGCCTTTTCGTAAATATATTTTGAATTTTAGAACTACAAGATATTAATTTTGTGATACATATAGCACAAAACTGCATATACATAACTGTACTAATAAACCTATATATTTTGTAAAAGCATTTGATCGTTCCCATTTACCTAGCATTCCCATCCAAAAATTTCAAGAACAAAATAAGATTTGTAGACAATCACAGTATGAAGGAAACATGAGTACAAAACCACTGTGTAATCACACATCAAGCGTCAACGAATTGATTTCATAAATCAGTTTAAAATTTCCTAAAGAGCACCTCATGTATGCAATTTGTTGAATTATTATGGACTGACTGTAATTGGATAGGGGAGAGGAGTGAATTTTTCAGTTGTGACCCATTTATCAAGCCTTTAACTTGAGTAATCACTGAACAAACCCTTTATAGATAATATTAACAATTAACTAAACTTTTGTTAATTCTGCCTACACTCAATATTTTTTCATATTAATAAAACTGCATGTGTCAACTCTAGCAAGCTCCACGTGATATTTATTGTGAATTAGCTTCTGAATCAAGTGATCACCTACAGCTTCTTCCAAACTTAAAAAAGTAACCCCCTTAATATTTGTTACTGCTTTAGAAACCGCAGCTATATATCCAATGGGAGATTCATAGAGCAAATTCAAATGTGATTTTGGAAAAACGCATGATTTTGGAAGAACGCTGAAAGTCCACAAAAATAAAATTTGGAGTGCATCCTTGGGAACATGATAGTAACACTAAAGCCAACATGTTAAAAATCAATTAAATAATTGAAAAACGTGAATTGCCATTGCTCATCATTGCAGGCTCATAAAAGGTTCTGAAAATTTTCGGCCGCATTTTGCAATCTCTTGTTATCATAGCTTTGGTAAGAAAAATAAACCCAGCCCTTATGGCCGCACGGAAAAGCAACTCATCGACCAGATGCTGGGCAGGGTCACCTTCTGAAGACCAAGCAATCATATAGGCCGACATCCTCATGCACAATGACGAGATTTGAGACACTGATGGCGTGTATCATTACATAAAATAGTATGGAGAACGACCAGATGTCCGTTGCAGCAAAGCTGACCCACATGCCCCCAACGATAAGCATTGTCTCCAAAGCCACCCGCCATTTGCGAGATATCTCCTTTATGATCGGATGTCATTTCCAGGTTAGGTAACCTACAACGAATCCCCAGAGCCCTGTCAACAGTTGAGCCACCGGCTGTTCGAGCATGGCGTAAAATACGTTGTTCGATGGAGGTTCGATGTTCAACCAAGATTTCGCCATGGCATTCTTTGCATCACAATGTATGAGAGAAAGAATGGCCAACCCGAGCCACTGGGCCATGCCCAGTGCATTGGGAGCAAAGCTTGCCATTGAACAACCAGAAGACGGGTGAAAATGTCTTTAGGGAGAAAAGATGGAGAAGATGAGGAGACATAGGAGAAAAAGTGAGAGACAATGATTTGTAGGGAAGATAAAGTGAAGCAGAACTATATATTGAGAGCGGCTACCGTTATGGTGCACTTTAGCAACGTGTGGTTACTTTAATGGGGAGTGCTACAGTCCATATCATCCCCTCATTTTATTATCTACAATTGAAAGCTAACTGTGACCATTATATTTGACGAAGAACCACCCAATGGGAAATATCTGAACCTTTTGCTGCTGCCCCCATTGCCAGCTCCTTCTCCTTTTGCGTCGGTTATCATTGCTGGGATTTATGTGGTATGTGTCGAGACACTGAACACAAGATTATCATTAACAATGGTAACAATATGTTGTGTGCCAATGGTGGAAGTGAAGCATTGCAGTGAGGCGAATTTGGATAGGCCGAAAGTGAAGGAGAAGAATAAAGAATCAAAGAGGGTGTGCAGGGCGACAAATGACGAAAAACAACAAAAATAAGGTGCAGTCGAGGTCACACGAGTCGTGTGAGTAGTGACACGAGTCGTGTGGACTGGGAAAATAAGAGTTTTGCTACGGCATTTTCACACGGGTCCTGCGGCTTGTTACACGGGTCGTGTCGTCTCACACGAGTCTGTGACCCGGTCATGTGGGGGTCGTGTGAGTCTCGGGGTTACAATATTTTGGAAAAAATGTCACACGATTTGTGTGACTTATGACACGACTTGTGTGACGCGCAGATAAGTTCAACGAGGACTAGGATTCAAATGCGATTTCTTCAATTTTCAACCCATATACGGTCTAATCTATAAAGGAAACTTGAAGAACTCAATTTTAGGGACTTTTGACATTTTGGAGGCGAAGAGAAAGCACGAAACGCATGAGGAATTCGAGGAGTCAAGATTGAAGATTCGAGAACTAACAGAGACAATAGTTTTTTTTTTCTCTTTTTCTTTTTCATTGAACTCGTGTATTTATTTACTTTGAGATTTGGGAATAGGTTTAGTAGCTAAACCTTGTTCAGATTCTAGGATTTATGAGTACCGCGATTATTTTATGAAGTAATTTTATTTATTCATTCCGGTCTATCGTTCGTTTTATCAATTTGTTGTACTTATATTAATTGTGTGAATATGAGACCCGTATTTATACATATTTGTGATTGACTTGAGACCGAGAGGAGATAGTTGATTGTCAGAACTAATAAATTCATAACGTACGAGACTAAACAGATCGAGATTGAGAGGTTGATAGAATCTTGCGAAGGAACAACAAACATAGAAACTAGGGGAGTTAATTGTTTATCTTGAGACTGAGAGTATATACATAACAATTAATCAACGGTTTAGCTTGCTTAGAGAGGTTAAATTACTTTAGTGATTGTCTCTACGATTGGTAGAATTAAATAAGGTTTGAATGGATAGAAAATCTTTGCTAGAATAATCCCGAGAATTTAGCCTAAAATCATTCTTGATTTATTTTAGAACAAGCCTTCAGTAGTGTTAGAATTTATTTGCAATCGTTTATTAGTTTAGAATTAAATTTTCGTTCAAATTTTCACTAGTCTAAATAATATTTAATCGTCTATATTTTTGTACTTAGTTATTTTAACATCAATCTCTATTTAATCGACGATGTTTTGGTACTTAGTCATTTTCTCCAATTTATATGGACTAGGACAATGATTTGTGCTGAAATTTAAAGCTTGGGCTCGGGGTTGGCCCATTGGCCCACTGGATTAGGTGATCACCAAGCGCTAGAACTATATTGTAGGCCTTTTCTCTAATTTCAATCAATTGAATAAAAAAGCCACTCATTTTTTTTTTTTTTTTTTCAATTAAAAAGAAACGGTGAAAATCGGAGCAAAGAAATTATTGATGGCTGGGGCGCTTGATTTGCAGGATTTTCTCCTCCGAGCTAGGGTTTTAAAGCTCTACAGACAAGCTCTCAGAATTTCACGCAGAGCACCAGTTGATTCTAAATGTCAGTGATCTATCCTCTCTCTTAAATCTCTTGTCATATAATTTTGTGCCTTGAATTAGCAGTTGTGATTTGTGCTCCCAAATTGATAAATTTCGATGCATTCTTGTGCTGTGGTTTTGTTTTTTTTTTTTTTGTTTTTTTTTCGTTTTTTGTTTTTTTTTTATTAATTTTGACACTCAAGTAGTGTTGTAAACGAAACGAAACGAACCGAACCGAGCTTGGAAGAAAGATTGTATAGTGTCTTGGACATTTGATTTGGTGGTGACTTAACCTTTGGTTGATTGTAGTTTTGCGTTAGTTCACCTGTATACTCGAAAATCATAATGCTGGATTTGGAGTTCAGCTGATAACTACGCTCTTTGGTAAATTCATGCTGGTGAAACTCATGTTATAGGCAAATATGTAAGGGAACAGCAAGAATGCTTTTTGATATTGGACAAGGAATTTTTTGTGACAATTATATGCCTTTCTTCTTTCTCACGCGGGTTTTGCTTCGAGCAATTTGTTACGCACCATCAAAATCATTTCATCTATTGCTCAAATTTCTTCTGCAGACAAGACAAATCTTGAATATGTGGTATTTGTATGATGGTTTCTTATAACATTTGAAGTGGTTTGGGGTGACACCGAAATGTCGGGTGTTTCAGGTGAACTGAGGCAAATTATCAGACAAGAGATGGACAACAACAGGACTTGCCGAGACAAACAGAGGATTAGGTTCTTGATTAGTGATGGATTGGAGAGATTAAAGCGGTTGGATGAGACGCTGGATATGCAAGGACGTTGAATTCGCAAAGTAAATCAGTTACTCTTGTTATAATATGCCCTGCTTCTAATGAGCATTGGGTACTGTTGTCCCGTATTTTGATTTTGATATCCTAAAACCAAGAAAAGCATTTGGGCAGTATGGGAAAAGAACATTGCTGAATAGGTTGATCGGAATCTCATACAAGCGACATGGTTTTGCTGGATCAGTACTCGAGTTCCATCAAGCAACAACTTATGAGAAAACATATTTATACTATGTATGTTGGTTGCCCTTAATTGTCTAGTTTCTCCCCATACTGTAATTGGAGATGCTTAGGTAGATGAGTAATGTTGAGTTCACAAATTCAATTGTACCTTTGTTATATTTTCTTGTGAAACATTTTGTCATTTGAGATTTTGCCGAGCTCGATTTATTCTCTCAAGGCAGCCATCATTCATTTCTTAGCATTCAAGGTCGATTCAGAAGAACACAGGTAACATACAAGAACTAGCCAAATGGAAACTGAGGATGATACAAATTGCTATAAGCCTATATATACACAACAATGTGGAGCAATTGCACAACAATTGAAGTGGAAGCATTGATTTTTCTCAAGTTAATTGCAACAGAATTTTTTTTTTTCCTCCAAGTCAATTAACTCTATAACATATTAATATTGAAATCATTACCCAAAAAAGAAAAGGATAGCAAAGAAATAACACTGGCTACTATCAAATTCCAAAAACCCCAGCAAAAAGTGAGAGCCTGATCTTTTCAACAGCATAGCAAAGTTCATTTCATGATTGAACACTGGCTACTAATGCTTCAAAAAATACAAGAACTTGCTTCCACTTAATTGTCATCAAAATACATTCTCAGAACTGGCAATTTCGATTCCCCCCTACAAACGCCGAGCTATAAACTCCCTCTCCGCCATTTTCCCCATCAACTCCTCTTGCATCTTCAGCTGCCCTGCCTTTTTCAACTGCTCCATAACCATCTCATAAACCTTCGGGCTCGGCCTCAAACACTTCTCCTCCACCATCTCCTTAAAATACTTGTAAGCATTATTCCAGTGACCCATCAGACAATACATTGTGATAATAATCTTGTAGCTATTCACATTAGGCTCCACCTCACTCTCCACCATCTTCTTCCAAAGCTTGATAACCATATCAGTCGACCTCGACAAAGAAAACATTTGCATCAATATATTATACGTAACAGTATTCGCCTTGCACCCCACATCCTTCATCCGGGAAAACAATCGATGGGCTGCATTCACATCCTGATCTTTGGCCACACACCTGAATATCGGGTTAAAACTCGACTCGTTCGGGTCACACCCTTTCGTGATCATGACATTAAGCACCTTGACTGCTTGATCTCGGTTCCCATCCCTACAGTGAGCATCTATCAAGAAATTATATGTTATGACATCTGGCTCGCACGAGAGTTTCCTCATCTGGTTGTACACTTGGAGCACCTTCTCAGTCCTCCCGGCTTTTACGTGGACTCGCATCAAATTATTAAAAGTAGCCGCATTTGGAGGACAGCCCACATCTAGCATTTCAGCAAACACATCGTGTGCGCGTGTGATCTGCCCACACCTGCAGAGAGCATCAATCACGGCCGTGTAAGTGTAGACTGTCGGCTCAATCCCTGTTTTTTTCATTTCCCTAAATACCCTCTCGGCCTCGTCAATATTACCCGCACGGCACCACGCGTGGATCAGGCTCGTGTAGACCACGACATCGAGCTCGAATTTGTGTTTTAGGGAGTCGAAGAAGGCTTGGGCCTCAGGGGCACATCTTCTTCGGGAGAGCATGCCGATCACAAAAGAGAAAGCTTTCCTGTCGGGTTCACATCCATAATCTTGCTTCCGGTTGAACGTGTGGACGGCCTCGGCGGGTAGCCCTGCTCGGATGTAACGACGGATGAGGATCGAGAATGTGTGGAGGGATAGTCCGAGGTTTTGGGATCTCATTGAGTCGATCAGGTGCCAGGCGACGTCAAACTGGTGCACCTTCCCGGAAAGATCGATCATTTCGTTGAATATTTCTGTGGGGAGAGAGGAATCTTGTAGCCTCAGCGTGGCCCAGTTGAAGAACGCGAGGGTTTGGGGAAAGGGAATGCCGTGGCGGGGAGCGGCGCACTTATCGATCACGCGGAGAATGACGGCGGGGGACGGGGCGGAGATGTTGGAGAATTCGTAGGAGAGTGAGGCGAAGGCGACGCTAGGGTTTATGGGGGTTTGGGGGTTTAAGAGGAGATTGGGGTTCTTGCGCTGGTGGTCCTTAATTAGTGAGTAGAACTTGTTGGCGGCGAGGGTTTCTTCAGGAGAGAGTTCGACGGCGGCGGGGGGCGGGGTAGGCGATGGTGTTTCGTCGCTTTCGTCCATCGAGACGACGTCGTTTTGAAGGTCGGCGATGTCGCAGTGAGAGGAGAAGAGGTTGACAGTGTTTCTGAATATAGGTGAGAGGAGATTTAATCGTCTGACTGAGAGAGCCATCGCCATTGGAGTGTAATGTATGGAGCTGAAGCTTGGTGAAGCAGAGAACAATACAATAAAGCCAAGCCTCTGTTCCTAAAACCTCACTTTACAAATGCAGATAAATGTATTTGCAAGCAAAATGCGGCGGATCAGTAGATCGTTTTTGGGCCCAATATTTATTCATTCCATATATTTTTCAGCCCATTTGTATACTTTTTCCGAGGCCCAAACTCTAACAGACGACCAAAAAATTACAAGGCTAACCAAAAAAAAAA